GGACCTGTCAGAGTGTGTCCAGAGCAGGATCACAAAATGATCAGAGCACCTCTCCTGTGAAGAAAGGCTGAGAGAGTGCTGGTTCTTCAGCCTGGAGAAGACAAGGCTCTGGGGATACCTTATTGCAGTCTTTCAATATTTAAAGAGGGCTTATAAAAAAGGCAGAGAAAGACTCTTTACCAAGGCCTACAGTGACAGGACAAGGGGCAATATTTTTAAACTAAAAGAGGGTAGTTTTAAATTGGACATAAGGAAGAAATTTTTTATGATGAGAGCAGTGAGACACTGGAAGAGGTTGCACCAAGAAGTTGTGGATGTCCCACCATTGGAAGTGGAAAGATAATAGTTTGTACTGATTTTTCAAATACTGATTATAAAAATCCATACAATTTATAAAGAATTATATGTAAATATTTTTTTCATGAACAGTATGACATTTAAAATACTGGTTTTTTGTTTAATATTGAGTTTGTTAATTCATGTGACAGTTGCTAGGACTTTTGTACAATCTTAATGCACAAACGTATATGTACGTATTAATATGATATAGATAATTTAATTTACATTTTAGTCATGTTTTCCTTGTCCTGCAAATATTTTTTTCATTTTTCATTGTTTTCTCAGATCTCTCTTGGAAAAGAGATTTTGAACTCCTGCTTCATAAGAACTTCTTCATTAGGTGGAGAAATAACACTTTTAGCTTATGTGAAGAAACACTTCTAGTTCATGTTTCAGTTTATGTGAGTATAATAATATTGTTGAAGAACATTACCAGCTTATACACAACCTACACCTGCCATCATCATAATGAAGATACCTGAATAAATTTTTGGCTGAGAGGATCACAACCTTTATCTTTGTATAAAATGATGGAGAGTAGGTAATGGTTTTCCTGTTTAGGTACTCATTAAAATGTCATTGACACACACAGGGCAGATTTGAGACAGGTTTTCATCCTGTGGCTTGTTTGACAGTTTCAACTGTAGCAGTCACTTGGTAACAGATTATGTTGCATTATACGGTATTGTTTCTCTTCTCTTCTAATGCAATTGCATTAGAGACATCCTTATCATCTCACACTGCCTAACGCCTGACTACCTAACCAAACAATATGTCCTCTTTTTTAATCCATGGTGCTATACTTTATTCTAAAATACAACATAATTAAGGTGCAACAACTGCAGGTAGGTTTCTGAGGATACTAACTGCACTCTGCTTACAACACTGAAAGTTTTAAGGTAATATAATCTGCTTCAAAATAAAGTGCAGAGAAGTTAAAAATAATATTTTTACCTCTTTTATGTGTAAACATTTTCTATGTAAAATATTTTTTGAAAATTTTACACAGTAGTTTACTTATGTTTATGCAATTTATTTAAGTGACTATATATCAGAAGCCTGAAAACATTTTTTGAGGAATCTGTTGACAACATAAATACTGTTCTAACTGATTAGAAAACTTGGAGAGTTTCTCGTTTGATTTGCCTATGTGCCACGTCCTTTCAAGTCACAAAAATGTGTACCTGTATTTCTGTGTACAAAACCTTAACTGTGAAGGGAGCTTTGTTGGTTTTGTTAGACATTTTTATTTCTAGTTGATGTGCTTTTTAATTAGTAGCAGAAGTATATAATGACTTTTGGAGCACCAAAAGAATTACATTATTTGTTCTATGCAACATTTGTGAGATGAATGAAGGAGTTTTCCCAAAGACTGGTGAACAGTGGTAGGAAGACCTACAAGACAGCATGACTAACATATGTGACACATAGCTCTTAATGACAATTGCTGGAAGAACATTCTCCAAGAAGCTTTTGTGTATTGCTTATAGAACTAAAATGTTTATGATCCTTGTGGGTTTTACGCTTTAAAGGGCCCACTTTGGGAGGCTGGGATTTGTAAGTGAGAAAAAAAAAGGTCTTGAGGTCTTCATATTAAAAGCCTGTAATGAGTTTAATAGTCTCAGTTATTACTAGTCTCAGTTATTACTATCCATTTATTTTCTTGAATTTCCAATGTACAGGTTCTCCATGCCTACAGAATGGATTAGTATGTGGCATATCTCTGGTATGCATGCTATCTAATAGATCTGGCATTTTTAACACAGTGCCTTTATCTTAAACTGTACTCTCTGCTTGCCTCTCTTTCTGTATCAAAGAAAACTGAAACAACCCCTGAAACCTTCAGGATTCTCAGTGTACTGACTCCTGAGCTTTAACAGCATGTTCTCTCCCTCCATTTAGGAAAATAAAGCCCGCTTTTACAAGAAAAATTAGCAAGCATTAAGAAGTTGATTTTGTCATTCTAAAATGAAAGCAGAGAAAGCGCAAGAAACACAGAGAAAATATGGACAGTGCAAGTGGAAAAGGTGGAAGGGAAACTAGGACATAAGTCTAGCACTGAAAAATGGGAGAGAGTCTTTTTCAGGGGGAAGCACTTCTGCCACAGCATGCGGCTCCTGGGTGGTGTCAGGACCTTTCAGGACCAGAGTGACACAGTAAAGGGGTGGTGATAGATTTGACATATCAGCAGGACCCCCCTGTTCTTCCTTGCAGCCTGTATGTAAGTGTGGTGAATGAGTGGTACAAACTGAGATTTATAAGGCTGGTCTGGGTCCAATAAATGTTTTGTGGGCTGCTACCTCCTGCCAAGGCTGACAGAAGAGAAGGAGGAGAAGTAGCACAGCATGTCAGTCGCTGATGACGCAAAATGTACTACACTTTCTCTAGCTACAACTACAGTCTATTCACTACAATAAAAATATCTTTCCTCCAGTTCATGAGAAATTCTGGTCTGTTTTGTCCACATAATGCCTATGAAGCCCTTCCCTTCCTGAAGGAAATCCCTTCACACATCTACTACCCTTTCACACTTTGACGAAACCTCTTTCAGATTCTGTAAACGTGTCTTTTTTCATCAGTATTTAGACCCACGAGATCCCCAGACTCTCAGCTGTGGTTAATGCTTGGCTTAAAATTTCATAATTTCTTGTATGCTGAGCCTAGATGCCACCCCAGAAGGAACAGGTTCATTCCATGGTTTCATGGCTTTACAGATGAAAGGGGAAGGAAAAAGTAAAATTGCCTCATACTGTTACAAAGCTTTATTGGGCTTCTCAAGATTGGGAGACCTGGAAGATGGAAAATTCTTTTTGGCTTTCTTCTGGTTGTCATAAAATCATCAAAGCTTCATTCTTGCATTGTGAATCTTCTGCTACTTGGTTGTGCAGTGTGGTTTTCATTTAAGTAGGTTCACAACCTACCCAGTCAGGACTCTTCTGGCTTGAAATGGAAGTTAGATGTTAATTTTTTCTGCACTTGTTTTGGTGTTGGAGTTTATAATGTATTTTTAGTACTACTTATGTGACTTGGTAGGGAACATGGGGCAGCAGGAAGAGAAGAGCTGAATGCAAATCTGCTGGCAATGCTAACAATTGCTTTAGTGTTTCAGTAGTCAATTTCAATACTTGAAATGTTTTTCTGCTCTTTGCTTGAAAGAAAAAATAAAATTAAAAAATAATTGTGAGGGCAAAGAATAACTTTTTAATAAGTAATATTGTTCACCAACATGATGTCTCCAGGAATTTTGTGCACCTGGAAAGGTATAATGACTTAAAGTTTGAGAAAGCAAGATAGTGAAGTTATATCCCTACTAGAGCTTTTTTCTATATCTGGAAATCTGCTGTACATATTCTAAGTACATACTAAAAGGATACCACACCCTTCAGCCATGGTAATAGGTATGAAGGCAGCTATGCTTTTACTTTACTATCTGAAATTTGGTGTATGTTTGTACTGCAGATAATGGCTTTGAAAGAGTCTGAAGTATTCTGAGAATCAAAGATGTGCAAGAGCTTTGAAGGAGATGCGAATTACCTTTATACAAAAGCAGGGAAACCTACACATTTTTTTCTGAGACACTGTGTTTTAATTCTGTTGCACTGATTTTTTGTGTAATACCTCCTAAGTTGACAGTCACGTATTTCACTGATGAATCATGCAAGACTATTTGCTTAACAAAAAGAAATATGGATACACAAGTATTTGAATTTCAGATTCACCAAACCTTATGCAAAAAAACAGTAGAATGGAGAGGGAAGAATAAAAGGTTCTGATTAGTGGAGTAATGTTGTGGGAATGGTTGACTTAAGATAGAGGATAGGAGCATATTCTGGAGGGAAAAGGGCATTTTCAGCAATTGCTGGTGGCAATGCTGCAGCATCTCAAAGGAAAACAGGTACTGAAGAGAAGTGAAACTCAAAAAATATTTCCCATTCTCACATTCTCCCACAAGAGCAGTGTCAAGTAGTAGCAATAAAGCCTGCTTATATTTCAGTAATTGTTAGCAATTAGTGCAAATGCAAACATACGTAGGCTCTCGATTTTACTGAGATTTGGATTTGCATTAATATAAACTGGAAATTGATGCCACAGTATTCGTTTGATATAGCAAACTATTTCATCAGTTGTACTGAGCTTTTTTAAGACTGATGGGAAAACCATGAGACATACAGATCATGGTTGATTTCTCTTTTTACAGACACCTGAACAAAAATGCCTAAAACATAAACTGAGAATTGCTGTAAAAACACACACTCCTACCCATGAAACAGGAGAAGACAAAGGTAGGTTCTTTTCAAAGCTCACAGATAAGTTTGAAACTAAGAAGACTATTTCCTTTCAAAACAAAGGATGCACCAGCAAAAGAAGAATCAAACTGAATCATCTGGGCTTTCATGTGAAATTAAAGAATGAAGACTTTATGCTTGCTTCAGATTGATATTGGTATTGACTTTTCCATAAAAAGCACATAACAGAATACAACTTTTCACATAATTTAGAAATCACCCCTGAGTTTAAACTAAAGCACAAGACATTTGAAAAGAGATGATCTGCTGTGATAACGAAAAGAAGTACATATTAAGCATGCACTAGTTATCCCAAAATATAAGAAATAATGAGAAATAATAGTAATGTCATGGAAACAAGTCTTAGAACTTTACCTTTGTGGCAGCATCAAAACAGACGAAGCCCATGCTAAAGTCAATGGTAAGTCCCATAAGATGACTCTCCAAAACACACGCATACGTCTTGCACTGTAAAAGAAAAATCAGAGAACATACTTCTTCAAATTCTTTCTAGAAATGGTATTTCTGTGTCTTTATTCTAATGTTTATATATCTCAAAATTATTATCAGAAATAAGTCAATTGTGTATAAATAGGTCAATTTATTACCAGTGTATTTCAAATCAAAGGATTTATATCAGTGATGAAGTTTCCTAAGTATTGTAAAAAGAGGCTTTGCTTCCGTTAGGGAAAAAAAATCAGAATCAGCATTACCTCAGTGGTTTACTAATGACAACTGCTAAAAGGGAAGTTTCATTATTTTCAAACTCCCTTATTGTATTGAGAGTAAATTCCTCTCACATTAACATATTCCTATTAGCTTTCTAAGACAAAATAATGCATTTGTAAAATACCTCTTTTATATGCTGTTTATTGGGGTTTTGTGTTGTCCTAAATCTCAATGAAAAAGGTGGTATTTCATACCATGTGGCAATTGATGTAATCATATGAAATACCTTTTTTGCCTCAGTAGACAAATACATCTCAAAAGTCTCTATGAAAAACCTTGAAAGGCTGACTTTCTCATTCTATTATTTTTATGATTCTGTGAATCTGTGCATTTATTTCTACACTTCAAAACATGCTGTGAGACATCTATTAGTGTCGTTTTCAGGATCAAAAGTATTGCTGTGCCTGAAGGCTGACTTCAGGTATGAAATAACAAACGTGATTTTCATCACAAAATATGTAAAAAAATGAAAACATTTCCAAACCTGATGTAAATTCATTAAAGAAACCATTCTTATTTTATAGAAATTTTACCCTCCACATTAAAGGAAAGATAGTTACATTCTTCAAATGTTGTTATAGCCACTAAATATAGGAAATGAGAATGAAGAGTTCCATGATCTATAAAGTTACAAAGAAAGAAAATATAAATTTTAAACCTGGGGACAATGTAAGTGACCAAATTATCAGTGTTACAAAAATATAGATTATTGGTTTTGGCATTTTGATTATGAAGGATAAACCACATGCCTTTACTTATATATTCTTTGGGTGGGCTCTTTTGATTCTAAATGGTCTTTCTCAGCACACAAGAAGCTGAAAGGCTCATTAACAGAGTTGAAATAGACATTATAGTGAAGGAAAATGGAAAAGTTCATAGCTATATAGATTCTTTGTTTACTTTAAATTTTACTTTTTCCACTTCAATATAGATTTCTTTTCTGGAACTGCAATATTTGAGTGAATTGCTTTTATAGATCAAATCAGGTCTCAGCAACATACAGTTGTTGGTTAAACTTTGTGCACACAACTTGGAACTCTAGAATCCAGGTTTCAAACAGTGATATCCGTGACTGAAGCTGAAGGACACTCTCTGTTAGTGATCAGTGAGGCATAAGTGCTGTATTTAAGCCAGTCTATAGATGAAGCATGGACATCTACAATTCAGAAGTAAGACCAATCCATGACACGTGCTTTACAAGATGATTTTGTGGTTTTTGGAGAAGCTACACCATAAAACTGGTATGAATATGTAAACTTTGATCGTAAATCAGTGTTGTTTGAAAAGGACAGGATATTGCCTTTGGCAACATCTCATTAGTAGACAAAAAGTGTAAAATAACATTTCACAGTGACTTGCTACTTAATGAATTCACATATGCAAAAATGTTCAGGATTTGCATGCAAAGCAAAAAAATGTACAGTTTTGGAGGATTACCTTGCTAACTTCCTAAAAGATGTAAACTACATTCTTATTTGTAGACCTCCAAGATATCTAGAACAGACATAGAGCCTTTACTGAGAACTAAAATTTGGCAAGGAGACAGTACATCAGATTTAAAATACATATTGCTGTCTAAGTCATCTGACCTCTGACCTCAACACTAGAGGTCAACCTACAATGCACATTGCAACACCACGCTGAGCTGGCACAGCTACCTCTGCTTAAGCACAGCACTGTGCCCGGGCTAATTAGCCTCACTGCGAAGTTAAGATTTATGAGAAACAGGACATATCAGTCTTAGTTCAGTGCTGCACTGAAAAAGCAACCTGCTATCCCAATCTGAAGTTTCTTTCTACAAAAAGCAGCACACAGTTTCTGGTGAAATATCACCTAGTTCAGCTCAATGTGGTTATTGGTAGGAAGAAACTGCACTGTAAGGTGCAGACCACCAGTAGTAGCTTATTCTTTACTTATACATAAGATCAATCTATTCCCTCAGACCATGTATTCCATGATGTTCAAAACAATTCAGAGAAGCAAAAATGTGAGAATAACAAAAGGACCTCTGGACAGTGAGATTTTAGTTTCTTTGAGGAAGAATGTCCCTTGCTTTATGCGTGTGTTGTATGCACTTGAACATGTTTCTGGTCACAGGTCAGACTAGGATTGTGAAATTTCCGACACTCGTTAACTCTCTTAAGAATTTTCTCATCTTTATTTTAATTTTTCCTTTAATATAGACATACAGAGAAAAAAATGCAGAAATTCTTCCCAGGAGACTTGATAATTCAAAATTTCTTATACATTTAATAAACACTATAAATCATTGGAAGTGACTATTAATAACATATAATGTGGGTGTTCAGCTTTGGTTTCTGATTTCTCACATAGACTTCATGAAAACGTTGTAACTGAAGCATCTCCCTCCCAAAAGAAGCAGAAGATATTTCATCACTCACTCTAGCAGGGCCTGAAGGAGACAAGCCAAAGTTGTTCCTTATTCTATTCCCTCCATACACACAGTTTAAATTATGGGAGAAATGACAGGTTGTAAGCCTAGCGCAATCTATCCCTGAACCTAAGGGAAACCATACTTTAAGCCTAAGTTTTAGTTCAGACTTTCAAATTCAGATTCAACTTCACTGGGGAAAAATGTTCAAGTACTGTAACACAAAGCAGCTTACACAATAATCCTTATATTAGGGAACAAATAACTACAATACATACAAGAAGGATGGCAAGAAAAAAAGTCATGACAGAAGTGGTGAAAATTTTAGCATAAAGTAGCAGGAACACAAAGGGAACCTGACAATCATATGTAACTGCACAGCATTATGCAAGCTATAGTAGTCTCAGATTCTTCATGTAACAATGCTGTGAGATAGTAAGGAAAGATGATCCCCATTTCAACTGAATTTTTTTTTCTTTTAATAGTTAATTATGAAAATGGATTAGCATCCCTTACTAGTAAAGAGAGACTGTAAGACAACACATTGGCACCACTATAATACCGTACCACATATTACTGCTAACCTATTATCAGTTTGACTATCTCTCCTCTAATATATTTATTTCCTAAAAAAACCCAACCCTGCCTAACTTGTGTTTTAGATATACCCCTGGCAGAAGTTATGAATTAGGCTTAAACTGAATTTATTACATATTTTTAGTGAGGCATTTTTAAAATATTTTAATTTGTGATATATTCTTTAGAATTACATCAGAATAGGGCCCTGATTCACCTCTCATGGACATTAAAGGCAATTTATACTGGTTGAGTAACTCTGATATTATTTGTATGATTATGGAAGAGTACACAACACATTTGAATAATTTTAAATGGCACCTTTCAACTGTAATTATATTTTCAAAATTATATGATTTCATAGTAAGACAAACCTGCACATGGCTGGATTATCATTCACATGCAATATGAATATTCATATAATAAGATTGCATAGAACATAATTTTACTAAAAATGTACAGCTGATACCTCAATTTTGAACCTGTCACCATTTTTTCTCACAGAGCAGTGAAAGAACTTGTCAGAGACAAATTATACCACTACTTAGTCAAACCAGATATTCTCTGAATCTGCAAATTGGTGGATGAAAGCAGTAACTGATTGCTGAAAGAAAAATGAGGGGGCCAAGACCAGTTATATTAAAAATTATTATTCTTTTTTTTACCAAACTGAGATATAGAGACACAAGAAAATAAAGAAAAAAGGTGAAATCATAAGGGTGAGTTCCGCAATAATAACCTATCATGAGAAGCCTATTTGCCCACATTCACAAATTTGCTATAATTAATCAATCTCAGAAAATCATAACTTTGAGTTCATAATTGCTACTCTGAACATCAGTAGAGTGAAAAGAAAAGTGGAAAGGTTAAGATTAATCTGAGGTTAGGATTATTAGGGAAATTCTTTTTGGGAAACATGGGAGCAATTCTGAATAAATGTAATTCTAAAACCCAAAAGAAAAATCTAAACTAGGAATGCTACAGTATGAATCAATATTAGAGAGGAACAAATATGAAATGGCATCTGGACTAAGAGTTACTCAAGAAAATCACCATATATTCTTTTGCTGATGGCACAGTAGTGCTACAAACAACGTTGCAGTCAGTTATGTGAGAAAGACAAAGCATCTCAAATATTTAGTAGCAGAAGTAGTAAGAATAGCTCCTGTAAAAGGTAGCAGAATGCATGAACTTAAAGATAAAAGTTGAACCTTCTTCAACTCCTCCTCCAACAAAGGTAATATACATTAAAACCAACAACAGTGTAGTTTTTGCAAAATGCATCATTAGTATATACTAATTCAGCCCATCTGCATGTGTTGGTTTATAGGTCAGAAGAAGGCTAATATATAACTAACAATTTGTCTAAATAAAAAACTGTCAGCGCCTGTGTTCCCAGGAGGAGGCAGAAAATGAGTGCAGGGAAAGTGAGCATTAGCCAATCCTTGCACAGGCTAATATGCTAATATGACTTTTGTAGGTATGTATACAGAATAACTCATGGCAGCATCAACTAAAGCTGTTCCAAGCACATGTATTTTTTATGATTAGAGCATCAATATAACAACTAGGATGAGGTGAATTATAATTGTGATTTTTTTTTCTACTATTTTAAATTAAAAAAAATTACTTTTTGGTCATGTGAGAAAAACGTATTTAAACACTCTGATTTTGCTATAAAAATTCACCAGTAATCTGTACCTGAATGTCATCCATCTCTGTTTTTTCATCTGGCAATTGAGTAAATACACAAGAAACAAGAAATGGGTGAAAAAAGAATAATGCATCTGAGGTACAATTTTGTTCTTGCTTGCATCAGGTAAGTACTCTCACTCACTGTATGCTTATTCCTGATTATTACCAGGACAATTTAATTGTGTCATGTTATCCAATAACAAATGAAGTAGAATGTAAGACAGTATGTAAGAATACCTAAGCAGCTGTTTCTGACCCTGATTTATAGACTGGTTTTCCTCTTCTGTCGATGAACTTTAGTTAACAAATATGTATCAACTAGTCATAATAACTCTAAGTTTGTGTTTGAGGTAGTCTTCTTCCTGACGTTAGACTGCAAGCTGTTTGGGAACACCAATAAAACAATACTAATCTGAGAGCTGCAGGAGGTCATTTCTTAAATTACATAAGTACTTCATATAGACCTAATTTGTTAATGAACCAAAAGGCAAGTCATTGAGACAGTTGTTCTCACCTGTATCCGTTCAACTTCTAAAAAAGTTGCTGTTTGGAAGGCTTTTTCCCATACTGTTAGGTCAGACTCCAGTTCCACAGAAAAGTAAAGATCTTCTCCAGATTCAGACTGGACACTGAAGCAATGTTTCCGCCGGTCCAGTAGATCACTGTCCTGATGAAAACCTGAAGTTATATAATCTGGCATACATCAATTAATATTTTTAATTGCAAACATCTGTGCCTCAAACCTAGCGTTTTAAAATGGCATTTTTAGTAATATAACACTGTAGTAACTACTGAGAGCTGAGAAACTGAAAATAAGTGTTTTGGTCTAAACATTGATATTTCAATGAATTTTAAATAGGACACCTATATTCAGGATGGTACAGAGCAACATAGAATATCTGGCATAACTTCCAATATCTTAACAAATCACTTCTCAAAAATGTTATCATCAGCTATACACTTCTAAAGTTGATAAATTCTATAAAAGGTGTCCACTTTCTTTTCACAAGAGAGGAACACAAATATCAGCTTCTCTGACCGATTTGAATCACTCACCCTACTGTGGAAGGCCGGCCAAAAGAAGCAAGAGATTTATTTAAGCAGTATGAGAAGTCCATCTGCTCTATTTTCCCTATAGAGACTAGACAAAACGAGTTCACATTTCTGGTGGCTTACAAAATCCAACATAAAATTTGTCTATAGCTGCATACTGCCAGTGGAGACTATAGTGGCTGCCAGTGGTTAGGATGCTGGGTTTGGACCTGGAGGAGGAAGTTATTTTTGGCTTTACTATCAACAAAACACCACACAAAGGATATCAGGTTAAAAAAATATAATATTTAATGATTGCTAGTGTTTGTAATTGGCACTAAATCAAAGAATAACCACGTTAATCAGGAAATCCATCACTAATTTTTTTTTCAATTATTATTTTTTTTAATACAGGATGCTTTATGCTAAAATTCTGGCATACAATTATTCCTTGTGAAAAACACACTAGCAGAAACAGTTTTAATTAATTTTGTCCCTACTACAGGAAAGCAGCTGTCACAAGCCACAAGCTCACCAGCTGTCCTTGCAAATACATCTGGAAATTTGAGTATATGTTACTTCAGTGCAATTTCTACAATGCTACCCCATAGCAGAGGGCACTGTTGATTTCAGTAAGCGAGACTCACAGGACAGTATTGCCTTCTGGTTGTACAAAAACTGAACAGACCAAGGACACCATAAACAGCTTATATAAGCTGGAAGGACACCTTACATTGTTCAAGCCAGCTTTCTTTGGGGCAGAGAACCAGGAACCTAAAGCTGACTGAGAATGGAAGTATGTAAAGCAGGAACCTGTATGAAACTATTCCTTTCTGGCAGATAAGTAGGCAATGGTAGAGTAAGCATTATTTTCCTCTTTCTTTTCATTCAGTAGACATGTGACAGACCTGCTCAAGAAATCCAAGACAGCGTGTATTCATGAATGTATTTCAAAATTGCTTTACAATTTTTAGAAGAATCAGCTGTAGAGGTAACACACCCTCTCTTTGCAATCTCTTAGTAGCTCCATAGCATTAAGTCATGGATGGAAAAATCAGAATGACATAGGCTGTTAGATCTTAAAAACAGCACTCCCCCAAAAATTAATATTCTCACAGACTTTTTTCCAAGTGTTCAGTGGGCTGTGTAGTTGAACTACTTAGATGTAGCTAAATAATAGCCTATGTCCTATGACAAATACTTTTGTCTCTTTTTTTTTTTTCCCTTTCTTTTTTCTTTTTTTTGTCTTTTTTTTTTTTTTTTTCCTTCTTATTTTTGTCTTTCCACTCAGGTCCATCTGCTAAAACTACAATGTCAATTCTGCTCACAGTATGTTTTGACCAGCATTCAAAAAAGAGGTCATAATGTCTAGGTTGTTGTTAATCACACCTATGCTCTACTGCATGCTCAGCCTCAAAGTGCACAGAACAGCAGTACTGTGACAAATGCTTAATCTTGTGGCGATGTCTAGCAACATAAAACATATATGCTAACACCTGACTATACAAATGCTACCAATACTGGATGAGTAAAAGCACTGGCTGACCCTCACTACTCCGGGAGAGAAAAGATACTTTGTATAGCATAACAGCACTTCTTGTCTAACTGGACTTCAGCATGGTCTTAAGCTCATTATGTCCCCAGAACTACACCTCATTGAACAGACCTGTTGGTCTATAACCAAATGGACCTATTCAGCATGGAGTCTTGACAAACTTGTGTGCAAGGTACATGTCTTTCCCATGAAAGGTTTTAGTTCTTCATAGCTACAACCTCAGAAGAAACTAAAAATATTTTGAACTCTTCTTCACCTGTTCTTGACAACAGTCAGAAGAGAACAGTAAATTATTACTAATGCAAACTCTTAAACCTTATTTGAAACAAGACTATGGCACTATGTGGATCACAGCAATTGAAGTAATAGCCTCTGTTTTTAAATGGGAGGAAGTTTAGTGCTGTGCTCGGTTCTGGAATGCATATCTCTGTTTAGCTGGGCACAGTTAAGGTTTCATGCTTTTAAATTGCATTTTTAGACTCTCCCATTCTCAAAGGCTTTTTTCTATTGAGAAAAATATGCTGGCTACGAAAAAGGGATGAGTTCTCATGTAGACTGTGAAAAATGAAATGTTGAAAGATTTACTGAGACTGATCTCTTTTAAAATGTGTTTGAAATATACAAAAAAAAAGTTTTTGAAGTGTTTAAATAAAAGCTTGTGCATTTTATCTTCAACATTGTTAGCAATAATTATGTTGTATTTTACTAAGAATTACATCAAAAAAGGATGAAAAAAGAAAGAAGAGCTAAATGGGATCTACAATATTAATCCACGTTTTTGCTATTTATATATGAAAATGAGAATATTCTTTGATTTAGAAAAGATCTAATCAGTAATAAGTAGCATTTCCCCTCAGTGGTTTATGTATAAAAATTTTAGAATATTTCAACTGCTACATCATATTGTGACAAACACACACAACGTACTCATTTATTATTGGCATTTACATTTTATGAAGTTCTTATTTGGAATGAAAACAAAATTCAGCATTTCCACAGAAACAATTAATTTTCCACAGAATAGTAATTCCATTTTTTGACTAGTTCTAATGTATGTATTTGTCTATGGCTAACTCCATGGTAAGAAAAGTTCAAGTCAAATATATTTAAGTGTTGTACTTTGGTTTTAAAAACCATACTGTCCTGGTTTTGGCTGGAATAGAGTTAATTTTCTTCCTAGTAACTGGCATAGCACTGTGGTTTGGATTTAGCATGAGAAGGGTGTTGATAACACACTGATGGTTTAGTTGTTGCTAAGCAGGGCTTACACCAGTCAAGGACTTTTCAGCTTCCCCTGTTCTGCCAGGTACACAAGGAGCTGGGAGGGGGCACAGCCAGGGCAGCTGACCCCAACCAGCCAAAGGGCTTTTCCAGACCATAGGATGTCATGCTCAGTATAGAAACTGGGAGTAGAAGGAAGGGAGGGATGTTCAGAGTGATGGCATCTGTCTTTCCAAGTAACCATTACGCATGATGGAGCCCTACTGTCCTGGAGATGGCTGAGCACCTGCCTGCCGATGAGAAGCAGTGAATGAATTCCTCGTTTTGCTTTGCTTCTGTGTGAGGCTTTTGCTTTACCTATTGAACTGTCTTTATCTCAACCCATGAGTTTTCTCACTTTTACTCTTCTGATTCTCTCCCCATCCCACTGTGGGGGGAGTGAGCGAGCAGCTACATTGTGCTTAGTTGCCAGCTGGGGTTAAACCTCAATGCATACATATGTGGTATTCCTTTCCTTAGTAGTGTTTCTTTGTACATTGTAAAAATAATTTGGTGCAAGACTCTTTAGTACTGTTTCTGCTCCTTTTTCCTGCAAGATCTTTCTTTAGTTTTCTATTTGTTCTCAGGCTTTTAAAAAGTTAAATCTATATTCTAAATTTATAGATCTAACTTGTTTCCATTTGTACAATGGATAACTGCAGGAAACAATATGTAGGCAAAGCTAAAAGACAGCTTTCCAAATGTCCTTGTAAAGGTAGGAATTTAAAGCAAAATTTTTTCTTAGGAATCCAACTGAGAATTGTCCAAAAGTCTCTGCAAAGTTAAGATAAACTTGTCAGGAGCCTCAAAACCCGGTCTGGATTTAGCAGGAACCTTCATTCATTAACTTTTACTAAATGGTTATTTCAGCTAAAATATAAAATGTCATTCTACACATTTAAGAAACTGTTATGACCCTGTATTTTTATAATCACTTACTAGTCAATGATGGACATGAGCCAATTTCATGTTGATTTTTTAAGAACTCTTTCACACTGTTAATGACGAGCCGTACCATTTGCCCCTGATGTTCTCAACGTGAATTAATACAGAATCTCTGAAAAGGAACAGTCACAAAACTTGTAGCAGGAAAGTAGTCCTGATGAAGGATGGGCTGTGAGGAACGTCCTTGGCTTACACCCAGCTTCAGGGCAATCAGCATCTCTGCTGACAGGATGGTATGACTCCTGCTTGCCTAATTAATAATGATGTCCATGTTAAGTGAGAGTAATAAATTTGTCTAAGGGAACCAAGCATGGCTCATTAGGCAGGTCCTTTCAAATTAAGGCAGAATACTTCTTTATCACTAAGTAGTGACATCTCCTTCTTTTCTGCATAGGTAATCCTTTCTCTTTTGAAAGACTGTCCTCTCCAGAAGCTGCACCGCTCCTTTTTGATTACTTGTGCCTTTTCATTTTATGTATGATGAATGCATTGAATACTCATAGTTTGGCTATCATTTAAATCCACTAAGATGCAAGAGACCCTCAACTTCTACTATAGTCAGTGAGAGTTGAGTTGTTCTATTCTACAAAGGTCTGCACAATAGAAAACAAAGCTAGGTCTACTGGTTTCATGTTCATGGCATGACTTGTACCCAGGAGGTGCTCAAGAACTGTCTTTACCTGTGAAATAATATGTAATATGCAGAGTAATTTGGTGATGGAACTGTAAATATTATTGACACTGGTGAGCAGTTTTTGACATGAACAACAATTAATGTAAAATGTTCAAAACCATCCTAATCAGAGTTGTATATCCAAACAGACAAAATAGAGCTTGATTTTTAGATAATTTTATTACAGCTGTTAAAATGAGGC